GCATATGTGGCAACTTGATGACTGAGTTGTACAAAATGCGTATATTTCACGCGTATAACGAGCGTGAATGTAAAAATTTATATTAAAAATGATTAAAAAAAAAGAAGAAGAAGAAGACACAAGAAATTAAAAAACAAAAACATACTGTAGTATGTTTCTTTCTGGGTTTTCACCGTGACCCACCCCTTCCCTTCCCCTGTTCTTTTTTCTCTTTATCCCCTCCCTTTCTCGTTCTTCCTCCAGCCCTAGTACCAATTCTTTTTCTTCCCCCACATTTCTCGTTCTTCCCCATCCCCTGTCCCATTTCTTTTTCTTTTTCTTTTTTCCCCCTTCCTGTTCTTCCCCAGCCCCTGCCCCTTTTCTTCTTTTTAAAATATCTTTCATAGATCTGATTTTCCTTTGTACGGTCTAGTTAATTATCTGTTTGCCATTATTTATTTGCTGTGTGAATATTTGTTTTTAGTACAAAATAGTGTAATTTGATTGATAGAAATTTTTAATTTTTATTACTCTTGTATGGTTATTGTTATATAGGGATGAAGTTAAATTTACTAAAATATGAGGAACCCTTTTCTGGGAAGCAAGATTTTAACAGGGGAAGGAGCTGGATTTAAAGCTAGTGAAATCGAGAATGAGTGAAGATGGGCAAAAATGGCGAGAAGGGTAACGGAATTGGATTGCTACAATGGTTGGCCAACTGTATTTTAGAGAGAAAAAATATGGCGGAGATAAGGTATTCAGGTAAAGGTGGGATAAGCATTCTTATGGAGGAATTGGGAATGGGAGAATACTGTTCATGGTGTTATCTGGTGGCTAGATTCAGGCTGAGGTTAAGGAGAGGATGATGGTGGAGAAGAAAGAAAAATAAATAAAAGGTTTAAAAAAAGGAGGGAGGAAAGATAAAAAGTTTTTTTTTCATGTAATATCTTTTTTAAATGCTGATGTGGCTTTTTTTATCTGACGTGGATTCTAGTACCATGCGATTGAGGGACACGCAGCGTCAGAAGGGTTTAAAATATTGACTTTGAATAAGTGTAAGTGCCTGGATGAAACTTTATTAATTATAGGAACCGGGATGACAAATGATAAGAAGTATAAGTATCTATTAGACTATTCTGCCCATATTTTAAGATAAGTATTTACCTTTACCATATGCTAAACTCAATTAATCCTCAATTTAAGAGATAAGGAGTATTCTTTTATCAAAAATGTTGCAGCTCAATTTTTTTTATTTCGCACCTGTGTTTGTTATTTGCTTTGAGGTTTGATTAATTCAAATTTGCATCAGAAAGTTCCGCTTTGGACGACTAAAGTACTTTCTACAAAAGGTGGCACAATTCATTTTCAGAGCTCGCACCCAAAAGTGTATTATGTTTACATGCATAACATGGTTGCGTGCGATACAAAAAAGGAAAAATATAATTTGTATGTTTATAATTAAATCTTACTACAGTCAAACATTTTTATAACATGCTCGTTTGTTCCGAATATTTTTAGATGTTATAGCGAAGAGCTATTATATAGAACGTATATTATAACATAACATGAAAATTGGTTCCGAAAAATCTTGTTTTTTATAGTGAAGTGTTGTTATGTCAGGATGCTGTTATAGAAAGGTCTAACTGTATAAAAGGATTTTCTAAGAACGTGATTTTAGCAGTAAAATTAAAGATGGATTATATAACACATCTCTATCGCTACTCTTCGTTTTTCCTTTTCGAACCTAGACAAAAGAAACATCAGCATGTCTACCATTCTTTCACCGGCCTAGCTTGAGATATTACAAAGCTATTGATCTAATTAATGTGACATCAAACATTTGTTGGGATGTATACTATTAATTATGGGTTTGGTTTAGATATAGTATTTATTATAGTCAGGGGCGAATTTACCTTAGACCAAGCGGTGTCACGTGACACCGCTTGTCGGAAAATTTTACGAAATAGAATTAAAATACAAAACTTCAAATTGAATAAATACATTACAATGACACCACTTGACGGAATGAGCTAAATATCTCTCTTGGTCAAGCGCGTTATTTTTCAAGAGAAAGCCAAGGTTCGAATCCCTGTAGGTTCATTTCCTTATTTTAAAGTTTTGTGCCTTTTGTATTACTGTATTAACAAAACACCAAACCATTGCATCAAGACTAACGATGCAGATTGTAGCGGCATTATGTTCTCTTGCTTCCCGTCATCAATAAGTTAGTTCAGCTATTTTTTTTCTTCTACACCCCGCTTCTCGGCTATAAAGTTAAAAATGATTTAAGGAATCAAATAAATAATGAGCTTTTGACTAGGAAAAGATGGAACTCAACTTCACACTGGTTAGCAAAACCCTAGAGCTTCCCTGCTTCGGTAGAACCTTCTACTTTACCAAGTAAAAAGTTTAAGCTAGGACACCACGTCGATTAACTTTGCGTTCTGCCATCACATATTCCACTTCCTTCGACAAGGAAGTCGTCATCCTTTCCGGTGGCCTCTTGGGAACGCCTCTTGTAGGGTCTTCCATGTCTGGATGGTATGTCTTTAGACACCCCACATGGAAGACAGGGTGGATCTTTAGCTTGGAAAGAATTCAGCTGTCGACGGACAAAGCCGGAACGTCGACCGCAAACAAAGGATGGCCAGGCCCCGGTTCCCAGGGTTAGGGTATTCCCTATTATGAGCCTACTCAGATCAGAACTAAACTAGTTGATTCTCTTTGGCCGGCCGGCTTGTTGCAACCTTCGCATTTCCTGCTAAGATCCCAAGTCTCCAAGATGGTTTAATGCCTTCTGCAAAAAAAAAAAATCAACAAAATATAGTATAATTTCTAATCAGGTTATTTTGAATACATTTCAAAAAAATAAATGCTCATCATAAAGAGTTTAATAATATACTTGAGTTGCGTTTTATTAATATGATTCGAATTTTGTTGCTATTAATATGATATTGCTACTAATTTACTTATTTGCTCACTTCTTAAAATAGTGACACAACGCTTATGAAAAATCCTGCGTACGCCACGGATTATAGTATAATTGTTTATTCAATTTTAATAAAGTTTTAAATAGATCATATATTAGTCTGTGTCATTTGCTTATATAGTAGATGATTTAGTGTATAGAGTTTAGCTTATACACGGAAGATTAAATCATCGGTTCTTATAAGTATAAAATTTGAGTTTCACAATCTAATGATGGAATTGTACAAACCAATGGATGATTGTAACACAAGATTAATTATAATTTATCTTGATTATGGGAATGGTTTAATTCCAACTTCTTGTGCTAGTACATTGTGTATGTATTGAACGGACCAAGTAGAGATAAGTATTTTATACTGACTTAATAAAATAAACTCTCTAGCCACTAAATGTACTTATACTCTTAATCTTGATATAATTATTATTAGCTGTGTACATTATTATTATTTTGATTTATTAAAAGGCGAGATTCTTTCGTGGGTCAATATGCCAGGTAAATTGGATAATAATAATGTACATTAGCGAAGTAGTAGCTAGTTGATGGAATCCATGTCTCGATTTAGAGATTGATGATACACCTTTATGAAAGCTTATAAGTTTTCATGTGTAAACCCGGCCGGTGGATTTTGTATCCGGCACATTAAATAAGTTAAACGAAAGTCTAAAGGAAATAATCAATAAATTAAATCGTCAGTAATTTAATTTAATTGATTAGCATCTGAATCTTAACATGGGGAGTTAAATAAGATTTAATAGATGAATTTCGAAATTGAATAAGGAGTGCAATTACAAATTTTTTATGGAATAATTCGTAATTAATTATGGTAGATATTAATTTCAAAATTTAGATATTATTCCGTAATTGGAGCCTTGTTAATAAAATTCTGTGGTCCCTACTGTGCCAAATAATAGAAAATAAAGGAATTATTTTTTTCTGGTGGAAAAGAAAACCCAACAGGTTTTGGAAAAGGGTTTTAACCCAGGTTTTCCACCTAAAGGTAGTAGTACATGGTGGCCGAATTTCAGCCCCTTTTTCCTAGAATATTTCGCCCACACGAAATTACTATTGTTGATATTATTTGGGTAACTGTAGAAGACCGTGGAACGTTCGGGAATCATGATCGTGCTGATAATGGTGATTTCATTGAGTTGCTGTGGAATTAGAGGCTCACGTAATAAAGGAGCTTTGTTTACGCTTCAAGATTACATGTAATTTTGATACCCTGAGATTGCTTCCTCCACATATAATAATCCAAACAAGCTGTTAATCCAAAATGTGCTTCAAATATTGAATTATATCATTTCCTATTATAATGGGAATGTAAGGTTTTTCTATCAATCTGTCTCAATCTGAGATTTTAATATTTGTCATTGTAAGAATTCTAGTTAACCAACTCCCCAAGATTACTCGTTTAGTTTCTGGTGTAGGAAATTGACAGCTGCTCGTTGTCATTGGATGTGTATTTAAAATCACTCGGTTAATTATCCAATAATAAACGTATATATACTAACAATGCAAAAATATAACGCCAATGTTAGAGTGGTTAATCTATTGTAATACAATCCTACCTTATTTTTGAGGTTACAAACTCATGCACGGGGGCGGATTTAGAGCCGCAAAAGGAGTTTGCCCAAACCCGCAAAAGGAGTTTGCCCAAACCTCCTTCGTCGAGAAATTAAATTATATATATAAGACAAAGTCTGTTGTGTACCTCTCTTTATTATATTTTGGATCCCCTTGACACAATGCAAAAGCATAGCTCAATGATCAAGGAATTCAAAACCTTTGGTCACTGATTCAATTCCCACTAGCCATAGTATCTTTAATTTTTAACTTTTCTCTTTTGAAACCCTTAGCGAAAATCCTGCTGAGCATAAGATCGACAATATCGACAATAACCAGTAATTAGCTTTTAAATGACCTAATACCTAATAGTATATAAAATTTTGCAGTCAATGTACTTAAGTTAAACCCTAATTATCATGTGGGTTATTCCAAAAAGATAATTCAATCCAAAAAGACTATGGACAGCTATAGGAATAACAATGAATGTATTCATTTCTTTCATATATAGGAGTTGTCTCTTATAACAAAATTACAAAAATGCTTAGAATCCACTTGGGAGTACAAAATACTAGTCTAAAACATGAAGAATACAACAACGACGACAACAACAACAAAAAAAAACCCAGTAAGTTCTCACAAGTGGGGTAGGGGGAGAGTAGGCCAAAGAGGCTATTTCCGATAGACCCTCGGCTAGAGAGTAGATGAGAGTCTAAAACATGAAGAATGATCACAACAAATGGCTAATAAAACACTTTTTAGGGAGCAGGCAACTTTCTGGCTATTGTTATTTAGAGTCTTCAGTCTTCACTTGGTACAGAGCTTCAAATTTCAATCTCTTCTGATCAAATGTGTGCCTGATATTCAAAAAGGACACGTTTCAATCGTCTACAGACTAAAAATTCGGTCTAACGTAGAAGAACAGTTAATGAAAGCGCACCACAAATTCTTGGATAACATACTCCTTATGGCTGCTACGTCCTGCAGTGCTGCTTGCTGTCGGGGCTTGAATAACATACTCCCTCTGCAAATCGTTAAGTTTCTTCACCAATTCTTGGAAAGACGGGCGACAACCACATGAGTTGTTGGACGAAACAGTAAAGTTGCATACCATGTCAGTTGAGAAGATTGAAATCCCTTTGTCGAAAATTATAGTGCGAAAATAAGGTAAAATAATTGCACAAGGGAAGCTTTAGTGCAGCAGCAAAGGTGAGTCAAAATTGCTTTAAGTCGTAGGTACTTATTAGTCACTTGTAAATGAAATGCACTGAACCCCATCACGGGAAAATATCAAAGTTCTTTCATGATTATCTTATATGCATCTGAGAATGCAGTTTCTGGCAAAAGCTGCAGCTGTCTGCAGTAATATAGGACTTCAGATTCTACGATACGACAACAAAATATAACAAACGACAAATACTGAAAAATCTTCACCCTATAAGGAAAATAGTGGACAATCAGGCAATACAAATTTAAAATGCAACTCAATTTGTACTACGTGTGAAACTTAGTTACTAGGATGTGTATTGGCTACTGAACATGTATATTTGTGTTTCATGCTCTCAGTTTTTATAGCCAATCGGAAATGTTCCCAGCACATAGGCAAAATGGATCTTCTCTTCACTTCTGCATTCATCAGATCAGATGTTGCCATTGTCTTAATCTTCCATATACTCTCCGTCTTTAATAGTATAGGTTCTTGAAAATCAAATAATTACCACTGATATAGCTATAGTGATGTTTCAAGCAGAACTTTAGTCGTCAATCCAGGGGAATAACCTAAAGTTCTAGCAAACTTGCAGCACGACCGAAGTATACACAATGCTCCATCTTAGAAGTTAACATGAACAAATAATGAATTAAAAATGAGACTAACTAGACAGGCTTACCCATTGGCTCAGAGATCAAAATATCAGCTTTCTCAGGTAACTCTACATCTTCAACCTTTCCTTTGATTACCTAAACATCCATAGATGAAACATCAACAAAAAAACATAAGACGCACTACCAAGATACTATATGAATATGTCAGATAGCATTGGAAAAGACACCGGAAAAAACCAAGAGTACAATCAATAAATCAACACCTCCTCAATCCCATACTAAGTGGAGTCGCCTTAAACAAGTAAAAGAACACTTGCTGTAATTCTTTCATTCAGTAATGGATTTCCAGCAATCAGTTTTCTGGCGTATTCGGCCATTTCAGAAGCTTCTATGGCATAAACATGCTTTGCCATGGTTGATATCGTTCATCGAAAAGCACAAGATGCATTGGTACAAACAGATCATCTGAGCTGCAAATAATGTTATAATGACAAAATGCCACTACCAGCACCAACATCAACCACTATGCGACCCTCTAGAAAAATAGCCAGTAAGATCTAGTCTTCAAGCGTTGATTAGAAAGACGAGTGTCAGAAACCTCATGTAATTAACAACACCAATACTGGTTTAGAGTAGGCTTAGACATCATCCATATGATAGGACCAAGAGGCCAGAATTTAGCCATTGCAGTACCACGCTATAAGCGCATAAGCTTGATTCCAAAAATTCTATGATCAAGTTTGGAGTAACTGTTAGACTTGTTTTTGACAATTTAAACTGTAAAAGGAATTTGAAGTACCTTCTCCAATTGTTACATCCTCCCACAAGCTTTCGTAATCCAGGCAGTCGGTATCCATGTCCACCTTATTAACATCACTACTGCTGGTGCTTCCGCAGCTACTGGGACTGCTAGTGCTGTTGACATTAAATGAAGTAGACCATGATCCCGAAGCTTCATTGGTGGTTGTCCAGTTAGTATCAATAAACTGATTGTCTGGTTTTAATGCATTATAACTGTTACTGTAATTTATCTCATTTTCATGGTTATTGTTTAGCCAAGCCCGTACAAGTCTCGTACTCTCTGTCTCTGACACATCTCGATTGTTGCCTTTCCATGGCCATGGTAAGCTCTTCCTCGCCATCCATGCCTCGGCCTTCAAGGTGATAGCCTTACAAATCCCTTGTTTTCCCTCACTCTCATCCCCCGAATAGCTTGAGTGTTTCCCCAGAGAATGTTCCTCTTTTGCAAGATTAGAGAATAATCCAACGGGAGAAGGATGAAAATCTCCCAAACGCGTACTCGCTCCAATTGAATTTGCATGTTCCCTGTGATCTGAGAGAGCAGCACCAGAAAATGCACGGCTAAAGTAATGACTATCTCCACTCCCCCCTTCATAAAGCACGCTGCTGTCTCCTGTCTTTATTTTTGACTTAACCTTGTCGCTCGCCTTTGAGGCCTGTTATGAGATTTCGTCATATTAGCATATGCCTACCCTTGTATACAGACAGTAAAGAGAACAAAAAGAAAACCAGGCAACTATCCAAACAAAGTGAGTACTAACCAAATTAGAAATTTTGGAGGCAATGGTAACTTGCAGGGGCTGCTGGGGATCAAGTCCAAGTTTGGAAGAAGCAAGGGTTCTGGCTCTAAATCTTGCATCAGGTTCCAATTGCCTCACTTCCATCGATGCAAACCCTGTTTCTTGGAAATCCCTCGCATTACTCGCTACAGAAATAACTCCGACAAAAGTACCTTCATCATCATAAAAAGGGCTAGTTGTAACAATGATTAAGAATCCATCTCCTTGCTTATTCTTAACTGGAAACTGTCCAGTCCAACTCTCACCCATTTTTACCGCTAGGTCTATAATGTAAGCAGCATCACCATAATGCTGAGCATCAGCTAAGAGCTCAATGGTATCTTGTCCAAGAGCTTCTTCAGCAGAATAACCAAATAGTCGTTCAGCAGATCGATTCCTGAGCAACAATGCTCAAATTAATGACATTGAAAAACATGACAAACACCAATCAACGTCTAACAATAGCTCAACTTATACTCCTATGTTACATTGAACAAACAGCAATCATGGCCTAACTAAAAAGCAAACTCAGCTAATTAAATGAACAAAAGAAAAATGAAAAGGCAAAAGATGCGAAGTCTACTTCAATTACTCACCAGTAATTTATACGATAGTTGATATCAAATATATACAATGCTTGTCCCATTGACTGTAATATATTCAAATAGTGTCTATCAGTAAACTTCACTGCAGCATGGCCATCACCATTACTGTTGTCACCCTCGCCTTCACTATTCAATGGTGACAAATAAGTTGACCCGCTTTTCCAAACAGCGGCAGCACCACCATCAAAACCACCACCAGCCCTACAACGAGGCGGCTGTTGTGACCTGTGATCGTAAGTAATCATGAGTTTAGACATCTCCTGCTTCAATTGGGCATGATCTGCCTCCAGTTCTTGGAACTTCTTTAGCAGTTCATCAGCTGATGCGGTTGTATTATCCATTTCAACCCAATTTTCCAAGATCGATCAAAATTCAACCAGTTTGATTTTCCTTCTGAGAAAAACTAATTGCATGTATCAATCACTAATTTCTTGTTAGGTATATTAGGCTTATCTGAGAAGAATTGAGAATAGAAATTAGGAAAGTAGAGCTGATATTAGGTGTTTCGAGAGGAGCCACGTGGCGTGATGTAGGAGATTCATTAATACAGGTGGCAAGTTATAATAAAATTTGGACATGTAGATTACAACTAAAAAAAATAAGAAGCAACGGTGGAGATTAGATTTCAGCTAACTAAATAATCAACTGAAGGCAACAGACACCGGTATTTTTAACTAGGGATGTTCATTTGGATCGAATATTCGAAATTCACACCGATTTGTTCAATTTCGGATGTTGGATTTTAAATTTTAGATATTTGGATCGGATTTCGAATTATGTTTATTAAAATTTCGGATATTCGGATCGGATTCGAATTGGTACAATTTTAACTCGATCGGATCCGAAATCCGAAATTATTAAGGCATGTATAAATACCAAGCTTTTAATTTCGGATAGTTAGTACTTCCTTTACATTTCCTCCAAGTTATTACCTTTACAATTGATGGATTTAGCTATATTGACACCATAATACCCTCATAATTGCAGAAACATCAATTTTTCTTGCTGTATTGCCTCTTTTACAAAGAAAATATACGTATGAGTTTGCAACTTTGAGGCATAACAACTTGAACCTCCAGAGAAATATTTTCTTAGACATGCAATGCTGATAAAAGGTATGAAAAGCAAAGAGATGTTTGTATTAGCACAGAACACAGAAGAAGCAGATAAGGCAGATGCATTAGCCGATTAGATTAGCAATAGCCTTAATAAACGTATAATTCGATCCGGAATCCAAAATATTGATCCGATTCAAACTTTGAAATCCGATCCGATCCGATATTGATTCGGATTGCATTTTGTAGAATTCGGAATCCGAATCCAAATGTGTTAAATCTGATCCGATCCATGCACAACCCTATTTCGAACGACCTTCTCTCTCTTTCTCTTCTTTGTTCTATGCAGATTCTTCTTCTATCCTTCCCCTAACCTCTATTCTTATCGTCTTCTTCTTCTTCTTCTTCAGGAATTCGTCAATTGAGTTATCATTGTGGAGTTGAATGTTAATTGTAATTTCATTTGAGATTGTATTCTTTGTAACCCAAACTGATTGCAATCAATAAAAGTTCCAGTTGTCGAATTGCCTTTATAATTTCTCGAGTTTGTTCATTACAATTTTAAGCCATAACAAATTGGTATCAGAGCCCATTCCTGGCCAAAATGACAGTCCCAGAAGATCAATCCACTGAAGAAGGTGTTAAGAAAGTGGAAACACAACTACAAAATTATATAGCGGAATCTAGCAAGAAGTTTGAGTCTCATGACTCAAAACTGGATAAATTGAGTAGGAAGCTTGACAGTTGATGGAGAGGCTTCTTCCTAATACGGATGGTATTATGGGCAGTGCACCCATGAATAATCTTCAACTGGAAACTTCTGGAAGTCGATCACACATAGGAGATCAATTTGATACAGTAACAGGAATAACTCAGAACAATCAACGCTCCAAATTTGAGTTTTCTTTCTTCGAATGTATTGATCCCTGCGCGTGGTTGAGAAAAGGGGAGAGATACTTCCAGTATAATCACATTCTTGATCCAGAAGAAAAGTTGGAGATTGCAGTTTTACACCTTACCGGTAAGGCAAAATCTTGGTTCTTTTCCTACCACATAAGCAAAGGAACAATTAGATGTAGGGTGTATATGGACCGGGTTATACATCAGCATATCTACCATTCTTGCACCGGCCTAGCTTGAGATTTTATAAAGCTTTGATCCAATTAATGTGATATCAAACATTGACCAAATTTAAGGACATATGCCTGAATGCAAACAAGCTTTTATTATATTGAATTTATTCAATAATTTTTAATTCAGAATAAGAAACTTGATTTTCTCGTTAAACGTAGGTAATTCGTTCTCTATTTTTGTTTGTATTGCATTTTATGCATATAATTAGCAGCTTCGATAAGATTTTGTACTTTGGTCGGAGGAAATTACCAAACGTCTAACATTCTCTCACGCTTGGAGCCACTATAGTTTTTATTTGAGATAAAAAAGAAGAACATATATGCCAACTCGCTTGATCTTGTACAGTTTATTAATTAGCTGGATACATATTGAGGTTATTAGTTATGATATTGAAAAGTAAATATCAATTTGAGAAACGAAATGAAACTTTTATAACCCAAATATACCTCAAATCCAAATTATAATATATCATTTAAAAAGTCAACGCTACTTACACGAATCCCAGCGTAACGCCACTGACATAGCTGGCAACAGATCTGCAGCAACCACAACTTGTGTCACCGGTCGTTGGAAATCCTCACAGATGAGGTCCCTTGTTTTGAAGGCCTAAAAGTCCATTCGTTGCAGAGATTGATCGATTGATATATAAAACCCTAGTCGTCACTAATGAAAATCTCTCTTTTCAACACCCATAATGGTGTTTTTATAGGCTAGAACCAGGGCTTTAGAAGGACTAGCTAATGGGTAACGAGTTAATTAGCACCCCTTATGAATGGACCCGAAAATAGCATTTTCCAGCAAATCCAAACTTCTTGTTAAAACAAGAAACTTGGAGCTTGATTAATGAAAGATTTTTCCAGAATTTTTTGGAATGGTTACATATTATAGGATTCAAGTGAAGTGATGTAATGCTCTTTCTATAGCAAACACATGCCTTATTGCCTTAGAGAAGGCGAAGTGGTCTTATTTTGAGCTATTCTTTTTGGGGTAACATCATCAACTATTGTACAATTCCAACTTTATAGGATGTCCCCGAATGACATAGCTATTATACAACTTTCCAATTTTATCGGATGTTCCCGAAGGGTTGAATTTGACCTCTCTGGAATTCTTGGATACGTAAGCAATAATTTATTGTTCGTGCGAGACTGTTACATTTTACCTTTTTAGGTATTCAACCTCCTCGATGAAGTTTGCCCCACCAAAACTTGACCTGTAACGGTTCAGGTTCAACTATCAATGTATTATATTATTTGCCGCTCAGGCTTTAATCCAAAATGTGCTTCAACAATTGAATTCTTGATCTTGATTTTTATGACATCTAACTAATCCATTCTATTATAATGTGAACTTTATTTAAAGCAGAGCAGAGAATATAACTTCAAACGACTTGTTATGATTGTCTTTAACACATTTTTTAGAAAAAAAAATTTGTGTATGTATAATTGATTTATAAATGAGTTTGATTTAAGACAAATGGGTGGTGTTAATAGCCCTTTCCTCTTGATTTATTTAATCTCTATTACTCGTGTATTATATAGTGTTAACTCTATCATTGCCTTTTACAATAGCAATCTATATTGATACTAACAGCTGCTCGTTGCCACTGATTTATTTAAAACCATTCGGTTAATTAACAATAATAACTCACATAAACTAAAAATGAAAAAAAAAAAAAATTGCCACGGTTAGAGTAGTTAATCTGTTATAACACGTTACTACCTTATTTTTGGGGTTACAAACTCATGCATAAGATAGAGAGTAACAAGTAATTAGCATTTAAATGGCCTGATATCGGATAGTATATAAAATAATAATCTGTGTATTTAATTTAAACTCTAATTATCATATGAGGTAATTCCAAAAATCTATTCAATCTCAATTAACAAGAAGCTTAACTTGTAAGTCTTTTGAAACAATTTGTGCAACAAGTACATAACAAGATAATTCAATCCAAAAAGAGCACCTCACAGGGAATGAACAAGCTATAGGAATAACAATAAGTGTATTCATTTATTTCATATATAGGAGTTGTCTCTTTTTACAAACTTACAAAAATGCTTAGCAACCACTTGGGAGTACAAAATACTAGTCTAAAACATGAAAAATACAACAACCAACAAACCCAGTAAGTTTCCACAAGTGGGGTACGGGGAGAGTAATATGTACGCAGACCTTATCCCTTCCCCGGAAGGGCAGAGAGGTTGTTTCCGATAGACCCTCGGCTAGAGAGTAGATGAGAGTCCAAAACATGAAGAATGATCACAACAAATGGCTAATAAAACACTTTTTAGGGAGCATGCAACTTTCTGGCTGTTGTTATTTAGAGTCTTCAGTCTTCACTTGGTACAGTGCTTCAATCCCTTCTGATCAAATGCGTGCCTGATATTCAAAAACGACATGTTTCAATCATCTACAGACTAAAAATTCGGTCTAATGTAGAAGAACAGTTAACAAAAGTGCACCACAAAAATGGCATTTGAACTTAGCCAACTTACCCGATAAGACCAATAGAACGCGCCAGCACGAACAGTCCTCTTAACTTAGGATCGGACAACAGAAGCAGCTTGTGAGCTCTGACAGACCAACTTTCATGCGACAGTCATAAAACCTTGAAGAGTTAGCAAAATGCATCTGCTAGCAATCTGACGATGAACCTGAAGCACAAGCGCTTTTTGTATTTACTGCTCCTTATGGCTGCTACATCCTGCAGTGCTGCTTGCTGTCTGGGCTTGAATAACATACTCCCACTGCAGATTGTTAAGTTTCTTCACCAATTCTTGGATAGACGGGTGACAACCATATGAGTTGGACGAAACAGTAAAGTTACATACCAGGTCGGTTGAGAAGATTGAAATCCCTTTGTCGAAAATTATAGTGTGAAAATAAGGTAAAATAATTGCATAAGGAAAGCTTTAGTGCAGCAGCAAAGGTGAGTCAAAATTGCTTTAAGTCGTAGGTACTTATTAGTCACTTGTACATGAAATGCACTGAACCCCATCACGGGAAAATATCAAAGTTCTTTCATGATTGTCTTATATGCATCTGAGAATGAAGTTTCTGGCAAAAGCTGCAGCTGTCTGCAGTAATATAGGACTTCAGATTCTATGATATGAAAACAAAATATAACAAACGACAAATACTGAAAAATCTTCACCCTATAAGGAAAATAGTGGACAATCAGGCAATACAAATTTAAAATGCAACTCAATTTGTACTACGTGTGAAACTTAGTTATTAGGATGTGTATTGGCTACTGAACATGTATATTTGTGTTTCATGCTCTCAGTTTTTATAGGCAATCAGAAATGTTCCTAGCACATAGGCAAAATGGATCTTCTCTTCACTTCTGTTTGGTCCACAAGATAGCAAAGCATTCATCAGATCAGATGTTGCCATTGTCTTAATCTTCCATATACTCTCCGTGTTTAATAGTATAGGTTCTTGAAAATCAAATAATTACCACTGATATAGCTATAGCGATGTTTCAAGAAGAACTTTAGTCGTCAATCCAGGGGAATAACGTAAAGTTCTAGCAAACTTGCAGCACGACCGAAGTATACACAATGCTCCATCTTAGAAGTTAACATGATCAAATAATGAATTAAAAATGAGACTAGCTAGACAGGCTTACCCATTGGCTCAGAGATCAAAATATCAGCTTTCTCAGGCAACTCTACATCTTCAACCTTTCCTTTGATTACCTAAACATCCATAGATGAAACATTAACAAAAAAACATAAGACGCACTACCAAGATACTATATGAATATGTCGGATAGCATTGGAAAAGACAATGGAAAAGACCAAGAGAACAATCAATAAATCAACACCTCCTCAATCCCATACCAAGTGGAGTCAGCTTAAACAAGTAAAAGAACACTTGCTGTAATTCTTTCATTCAGTAATGGATTTCCAGCAATCAGTTTTCCGGCATATTCGGCCATTTCAGAAGCTTCTATGGCATAAACATGCTTTGCTATGGTTGATATCGTTCATCGAAAAGCACAAGATGCATTGGTACAAACAGATCACCTGAGCTGCAAACAATGACTATGTTGCTCGGACTCTTCGAAAATGTCGCTGGATGTGTGTTGGATCCTCCACAAGTAATGCATTTTTGGAGGATCCGACAAGGGTGCGGCAATATTTTGGAGAGTCCGCGCAACATAGAATAATGACAAAATGCCACTACCAGCACCAAAATCAACCACCATGCGACCCTCTAGAAAAATAGCCAGTAAGATCTAGTCTTCAAGCGTTGATTAGAAAGATGAGTGTCAGAAACCTCATGTATTTAACAACACAAATACTGGTTTAGAGTAGGCTAGGACATCATCCATATGATAGGACCAAGAGGCCAGAATTAGCCATGGCGGTACCATGCTATAAGCGCATAAGCTTGATTCCAAAAATTCTATGATGAAATTTGGAGTAACTGATAGACTTGTCTTTGACAATTTAACCTGTAAAAGGAATTTCAAGTACCTTCTCTAATATGTTCTCCAATTGTTACGTCCGCCCACAAGCTTTCGTAATCTGGGCAGTCAGTATCCATGTCCATTTTATTAACATCACTACTGCTGGTGCTTCCGCAGCTACTGGGACTGCTAGTGCTGTTGACATTAAATGAAGTAGACCAGGATCCCGAAGCTTCATTGGTGGTTGTCCAGTTAGTATCAATAAACTGATTGTCTGGTTTTAATGCATTATAACTGTTACTGTAATTCTCATTTTCATGGTTATTGTTTAGCCAAGCCCGTACAAGTCTCGTACTCTCTGTCTCTGACACATCTCGATTGTTGCCTTTCCATGGCCATGGTAAGCTCTTCCTCGCCATCCATGCCTCGACCTTCAAGGTGACAGCCTTACAAATCCCTTGTTTTCCCTCACTCTCATCCCCAGAATAGCTTGAGTGTTTCCCCAGAGAATGTTCCTCTTTTGCAAGATTAGAGAATAATCCAACAGGAGAAGGGTGAAAATCTCCCAAACGCGTACTCGCTCCAATGGAATTCGCATCCTCCCTATGATCTGAGAGAGCAGCACCAGAAAATGCACGGCTAAAGTAATGACTATCTCCACTTCCACCTTCATAAAGCACGCTGCTGTCTCCTGTCTTTATTTTTGACTTAACCTTGTCGCTCGCCTTTGAGGCCTGTTATGAGATTTCGTCATATTAGCATATGCCTACCCTTGTATACAGACAGTAAAGAGAACAAAAAGAAAACCAGGCAACTATCCAAACAAAGTGAGTACTAACCAAATTAGAAATTTTGGAGGCAATGGTAACTTGCAGGGGCTGCTGGGGATCAAGTCCAAGTTTGGAAGAAGCAAGGGTTCTGGCTCTAAATCTTGCATCAGGTTCCAACAGCTTCACTTCCATCGATGCAAACCCTGTTTCTTGGAAATCCCTCGCATTACTCGCTACAGTAATAACACCGACAAAAGTACCTTCATCATCATAAAAAGGGCTAGTCGTAACAATGATTACAAATCTATCTCCTTGCTTATTCTTAACTGGAAACTGTCCAGTCCAACTCTCACCCATTTTTACCGCTAGGTCTATAATGTAAGCAGCATCACCATAATACTGAGCATCAGCTAAGAGCTCAATGGTATCTTGTCCAAGAGCTTCTTCAGCAGAATAACCATATAGTCGTTCAGCAGATCGATTCCTGTGCAACAATGGCTCAAATTACACTCCTAAATAGTGACATTGAAAAACATGACAAACACCAATCAACGTCTAACAATGACTCAACTTACACTTGTTACATTGAACAAACGTGACAAACAGCAATCATGGTCTAACTAAAAAGCAAACTCAGCTAATTAAAGACACAAACTCAATCTCTCCCAGCCACTTCCTTTCTCTCCCAAGTCCGAATGAACAAAAGAAAAATGAAAAGGCAAAAGATACGAAGTCTACTTCAATTACTCACCAGTAATTTATACGATAGTTGACATCAAATATATACAATGCTTGTCCCATTGACTGTAATATATTCAAATAGTGTCTATCAGTAAACTTTACTGCAGCATGGCCATCACCATTACTGCTGTCACCCTCGCCTTCACTACTACTCTCTCTTTCCAATGGTGACAAATGCCTGAAATAAGTTGACCCGCTTTTCCAAACAGCGACAGCACCACCATCAAAACCACCACCAGCCCTACAACGAGGCGGCTGTTGTGGGGAGATCGAATGGGACATTTGTCTCTGTGATCTGGGATCATCAGAAATCGTGAGCTTAGACATCTCCTGCTTTAATCGAGCATGACCTGCCTCAGCTGGTGATGTTGGTCCTTGAGCTGATGCTGTTGTATTATCCATTTCAATCCAATATTGTAATATCGATCAAACCCCACTTCAGATTCAACCAGTTATTTTCCTTACTCCAATGCTCTGAGAAAAACCAATAGGATGTATCTATGACTAATTTACTGACACCCCACTAAATATGTGTCTATGTAGCCATATAGAACTGAAAAATTAGAAGTGAATTTCTTGCTGAAATGGAGAAAATGGTCACCTTTTGAGTTCAAGAAGCCACCTTTTTCGGCCCCTGACAGCTAGCTTTCACATATCATTTCCGTTGAATAATGACCGTCAAAGGTTAATGACGCAACAGATCCAAGTGCTGTTGAATTCTACATAACTGATTCATGCTATATAACGTGGACAAATGCCATAGTTTTCCAGAATTCATGGAATGGACCCATATAAGATTTGGTAAAGTGATGTCACGTGCCCCAAATGCAGTTTCTAGCAAAACAGCCTTTGAAGAGGTGAAAAGGTCTTAACATCAGTTCCAATTTTGATCATCTCAGGTCTCTCATGGTTCAGATACATTGGAGGTCAAACCAATGACCAGAAAATTGGCTTCATCTGCAGCTATTGTACAACGAGCCTAGATATCTGAATTATTTGCATTTAGGCATCACAATCCAGTCTAATCCCACCTCAACTTCACTCTTCTTATGCCGGCTAAACTTGCAATAACATACATTCAATCTTACTTCTATGCATCCAAAAACTCTTACTCTAGAGTGCTTCTGCATAGTTCAAACTTTTTGGTTTACACTCTCGTTGGTTTCGTCAATTACAAAAAAAAATTGTCACCAATTAACATACATCATGGGACCTCATTTTATATTGCATTGGTTAGATTATCCATAACTAGGGTAAACAAGTATGAGCTCACTGCCGATTCCTAGTGTAAACCCACGATTATGGGAAACTCCTTTGTATCTCTTACTACTGTTCTCATGCTAGTGACGGCTCCTTCATACTTGTCTTTTATGACATTCATATATTTAATATGAATTGCTTTCTTCTCCAACACCCACCAAAGGACTTAAACTAGGTGAAGTTTATTAAAAAGACGATTCTCAACAAGTATTGACAAGAGATAATTAGATAAAGGAGTGATGGAAAGGCTATTTAATAAAAATTTGGATCTACATGCATATGTGCCACGACAGACACTTTAGTTATACTCGTAGAATTAGGCCGGCTGAGATAACGAATGCCATGAAAAATATTAATCCTCATAGTTTGAAAGTGCCTTGGGAAGGTTGGAGTAGGACACCTTACCGAGCTATTTAATGCTACACCATGAAGTGGTAGCATGCTCGACGAATGGAGAAGCACTACCTTGATTCCAATTTATTAGAACAAAGGATATATTCAAAGTAATGCGAACTATCATTTAAAAATACCAAATAAACCCTTACCCATAACTACAGACCTAAAATTTCTCACAGCTTGTACTAATCCCCACGTACACCAATTACGTAAAAGGCAGTCCAAAATTTCTGCTAAAACCAGAAAATTGAAGCTTGACTAATTAATATCAGATTTTTCCAGAATTTCTGGAATAGATTCAACATAGGATTCAGTAAAGTGATGTCAGTCACGCACCCCAAATGCACATATAGCTAAATAAGCATTGGAAAAGGTAAGGACTTAGCATGAGTACCAATTTTGATGATCTCATGCCTCCCTAGTTTCAGAATGACTAGAAAATTAGCTTCATCTGCATTATTTTTTTTGGATAACATGCTGCAGCTTCTATACAGCCAAAGAGTTGAATTTGTTTAGTGGAAAAAAAAGGGTTGAATTTGACCTCTCTGAAATTTTTGACTTATAACGGCTCTGACCCGACTGTTAATAGTCAATAGGACTGGATTTACTGTTTAGTTTTTCTAGCTGGTTTACATAGAATATAAACTAATTACACACGATTATATAACAACAACAACAATATATCCAATGTAATCCCACAAGTGGGGTTTGGGGAGGGTAGAGAGACTGTCTCTGAAGACCCTCGGCTCAAGGAGAAATGAAAAGAAGCAGTAGCAACAAGTAGTAACAACAACGATATAATAAGATAATTAATGCGAAAGAAATCCCATATAGTCATATAACTTTACGAACAGGAAAATACAAGACTAATACTAATGCAACTGGTATGGTAAAGAGATACCCTCAACTACTCACTAACCTTCTATCCTAATCCTCGACTTCCACACCTTACTCTCAAGGTTCATTTCTCGGTAAGCTAAAGTTGCGCCATGACCTGCCTAATCACCTCACCCGAATACTTTACCTCTACCTCTCACACCTCCTTATGGGGCATTCGCACCTCTCCTCTTCACATGCCCATACCATCTTAACTTCGCTTCTCGCATCTTGTCCTCCATGGGGGCCACTCCAACCTTGTCCTGAATAACTTCATTCCTAATTTTATCTCTCCTGATATGCCCCACAAATCTATTTCCGCATCCTCATCTCTGTCACTTTCATCTTCTAGACATGAGAGTTCTTAATTGGCCAACACTATGCCTCATACAACATAGTAGGTCTAACCACCACTCTATAGAACCTACCTTTTAAGTCTAGGCAGCACACTCTTGTCACACAAAATGCCGGATATGAGCCTCCATTTCATCCACCCTGTTCCAATATGATGTGTGACATACTCGTCAATCTCCCCATTACCTCGAATTCAGGGGCGGCTAAAGTATATGCGGGGGCCTAAACCCAAAGTTTAATATGAGGCCTAAATTTTAAAAAGAAAGTTATAAGATATGCTTACATTTGAAACTTATTCTTCTAGCTTTTTGAGATACAAAGTTGTTAATAATCTTTTTTATAATCGATTTTCTCTAATAATTCTTTTTCAATTGATAATATAGCCAACTCATTTAATCTTTTTTGAGGTATTGTTGATCTTAGATAAAAATTTATAGAGCAATAGAAATATAGAACTATTGGAAGCTTAAAAGTATTGTTGAACACAAAGAGAAAGACAAAAAATACGTAGGGGATTCTGAAATATGAATAGATTGAGGAAAAGAAAGATTGACTTGGACAAATTAAGAAAGGAAGAGTACAATTTTTACACGTTATCTAATGCGAAGGAGTAAGAAGTGAAAAATTGAAACATTGGGAAAACTATTCATTTACCCATTTTTAAGTAAGCCAAATTATTACTTTATTTATATATCTAAGTTTTCTTTTATATTAAAAACTCTACTTTTGTATTAAAAGCACTAAATATTATTTTTTAAATACCTATAAACTTATTATTTTTAAAAATGGGGCCCCCCAAATTTGGGGGCTTAAGGCACAAGCCTTACTACTCATAGCAGTAGAGTCGGCCTTGCTCGAATTACTGAACCAAAGTGTTTGAAACTCCCTTTCTTGGGGATGACTTGAGTGTCAAGTGTCACTTCCACGTCCGCTTCATGAATTTCGTCATTGAACTTGCAATCCAAGTATTCCATTTTGGTCATGCTCAACTTGAAACCTTTTGACTCCAGGGCAATGTCTCCAAACCTGCAACCAAGCATTACACACGATTATATACATATCCTATATATTCGTTAGTTATTTTTAGTTTAAGCGCGGCTATTTAGGTAAATTCTTCAGCTTAACCCAAACGATACTATAAATTCCTAATCCCGAATGACTTGTTAGGATTGTCTTCAACACGTTTTCTAGAAAAAAGAATGTGTATATGTAATTGTTTTGTAAATAAGTTCTTTTTAGAACAAATGAGTGTTTTACTAGCCCTTTCCACTTGATTTATTTAACTTTTATTACTGTTTTATTATATAGTTTTGACTCTATCATTTCCTATTATACAAATGTAACATTTTTCTATCAATCTGTCTCTAAAGTTTATATTACCATAGTAAGAATTCTATTCAACGTTCCTTCCAAAATTCTTGACATGAATTAATGGTCATTCGGTTAATTACCGATAATTAACTTACATATGCTTACAAAGCAAAAATATTTTGCCACTGTTATTGTAGTTAATCTATTGTAACATGTTACTACCTTATTTTTGGGGTTACAAACTCATGCATAATATAGACAATTACCACTGTTAAGTAGTTAGTCATGTATATTGTCCCACATCGGGAAGTAGATACATATTATAATGTAATCACTGTATATAAATAGGGTTGTACAACACTTTAATTAAGTAATAATATTTCTCCCGTATCAAAGCATTAGTGAGAAACTTATCGCTGTGCATCATTCCAGCGACTTCCGGGAAGAAACACCTCGTCGCCGTGCAATTTTCCGGCGACTTAGAAGGCTGTCCGCAAGCAAATCACTTCCATTGGTGCTATGCAAAAAAACCAACACCACCACAAGACTCATCAGGCTCAGGCGACCAAACCCCAGTCAACCTCAGCGGAAAACTCACACCTACGCGCCCCCATGCGCCTAAAAAGGAAAAAAAATTCCGGCAAGATCTGACCCACGCGCCGGCGCGTGAGACCATTTTCGGCCAGATTTTGGAAAAGTTCCTGTTGAACAGTCGGATCGCCTGGTAGTTCCGAGCCTACCCATACCTTTTTCTTTTTATTCCGATCACTTTGAGATTTTCCGGCAGCTACAGTGATTTTTCCGACGAAACTTTTTTTAGACAGATTACTCAGGAGTTTATTCCGAGTCTTTCCAGTCAAGTTTAAATCAAATTCCGACCACTTTTATATTCTCCGGCGTAACATTATAATGGCATTCGTATCACAAGTCTTTCACTCATAATCTGTTGGATCCAATTCATTGAATCCAATCCAGATGGTTTCTTTATCAGATTATATTGAGTTCCTTCAGTACAAAGCATGTAAACAAACATCTTCAGGGATAGCTTCCGTTGTTCAAACAGATAGTCGCGTGACTTGTGTCTCCCAATCTTCAACCTCTGAGTTTTGGGTCATTGATTCAGGTGCATCTGATCATATTTCTAGTAACAAATCTCTTTTCACTAGTATTTCGTATTCTCAATCTCTTCCAACAGTCACAATAACCAATGTGTCTCAAACCATGGCAACTGCAATAGGTCAAGCAAGCCCACTTCCTTCCTTACTTTTAGATTCAGTTATTTATGTTACCAATAGTCCTTTTAATCTCATAGCCGTTAGTCGCTTAGTCAAATCACTTAAATGCATTGTTTTATTTCTTGATGACCTTGTTTTTATACAGGAACACAGTACGGGGAGGATCATTGGTACCGGGCGTGAATCAGATGGACTTTATTACCTTATCTTTGCAAAATCACATGGACTCACATCTTGCCTTCCTTCAATAACTTGTCTTGTTACCGATTCACCAGATTTATTAAATAAATGGTTGAGAAATCCCAGTTTGTCAAAACTTCAAAAAATAGTACCTGGTTTATCTCACTTGTCCACTTTAGAGTGTGAGTCATGTCAGCTCGGTAAGAATACCTGCTCCCATTTCCCTCGGCGTCTTGATAATCTAGGAGAGTCACCTTTCACTTCAGTCCATTCAGATGTTTGGGGTCCTAGTCAGGTCAGTTCTACCTTGGGATTCCGCTACTTTGTCAGTTTCATTGATGATTATTCCAGGTGCACTTGGATATTTTTGATGAAAAATCAGTCTGAGTTGTTTTCTATTTCCAAACCTTCCATGCTGAAAGTCAAAATCAATTTAGGTTTTAATCCGCACATTTTGTAGTGATAACGCCCTAGAGTATTTGTCTTCCCCATTTCAGCAGTTTATGAACTCTCATGGGATTATTCATCAAACATCTTGTCCGTACACATCTCAACAAAATGGGGTAGCTAAAAGAAAGAATAGACATCTTATTGAAACTGCTCGTACCCTACTCATACAATCTCATTTTCCGTTGCGTTTTTGGGGGATGCAGTTCTTACATCTTGCTATCTTATTAATCGTATGCTATCTTCAGCTATCCAGAATCAAGTTTCATTCTCTGTCCTGTTTCCCCACTTACCTTTGTTCTCTCTTCCACCACGTGTCTTTGGAGGACATGTTTTGTTCATAACCTTACTCCAAGAAAAGATAAGTTAGCTCTTCGTGCTCTTAAGTGCGTATTTCTGGGTTACTCGAGAACGCAAAAGGGGTATCGATGCTATTCTCCTGACCTCCAGCGGTACCTTATGTCCGCTATGTTACCTTCTTTGAAATCCAATCATACTTCACAGGTCCAGGTAATCACTTAGATATTTCTGAGGTGCTACCAGTTTCATCTTTTGGAGATTCAGTCACCATCTCCCATTCATCTTCCTCTACAACTCCAGCTCCACCACCTACAGCTCGAGTTCCACCACCTATAGCTCCAGTTCCACCACCTAGTCCAGTTCAAAGTTCTGCAGCTCCACCACTCTTGATTTATCATCGTGTTCCACGTCCAGCATCAGGCCCAGGTGATTCACGTCCTGCATCAGATTCTGCACCTACTGTGGACTTATCTTGTCTTAGTCAACCAATTGCACTCCGCAAAGGTGTATGATCCACACTTAATCCTAATCCACATCATGTCGCTTTAAGTTATCATCATCTGTCATCACCTCATTATGCTTTTATATCATCTTTGTTCACTGTTTCTATCCCCAAGTCTACAGGTGAGGTGCTATCTCATCCAGGATGGCGACATGCTATGATTGAGGAGATGTCTGCTTTACATGCAAGTGGCACTTGGGAGCTTGTTCCTCTTCCTTCAGGTAAGTCTACTATTGGTTGTCGTTGGGTTTATGCGGTCAAAGTCGGCCCGGATGGACAGATTGATCGACTTAAGGCTCGTCTTGTTGCAAAAGGATACACTCAGATTTTTAGGCTTGATTATAGTGACACTTTCTCTCCCGTGGCTAAAGTAGCATATGTTCGTCTCTTTTTGTCCATGGCTGATGTTCGTCATTGGCCTCTTTATCAGTTAGACATTAAAATGCTTTTCTCCATGGTGATCTTGAGGAAGAAGTTTATATGGAGCAACCACCTGGTTTTGTTGCTCGGGGGAGTCTAGTGGTCTTGTATGCCGATTGCGCATGTCACTATATGGTTTGAAACAGTCCCCTCGAGCTTGGTTTGGTAAGTTCAGCACAGTTATTCAGGAGTTCGGCATGACTCGTAGTGAAGCTGATCACTCTGTGTTTTATCGGCATTCTGCTCCTAATCTGTGTATTTATATGGTGGTTTATGTTGATGATATTGTTATTACTGGCAATGATCAGGTTGGTATTACTAATCTGAAGCAGCATCTCTTTCAGCACTTCCAGACTAAGGATCTGGACAGATTGAAGTATTTTTTAGGTATTGAGGTCGCTCAATCTAGCTCAAGTATTGTTATTTCAAAGCGGAAGTATGCCTTAGACATTCTTGAGGAGACTGGAATGATGGACTACAGACCTGTTGACACTCTTATGGATCCGAATGCTAAGCTTCTGCCTGGACAGGGGGAGCCTCTTAGAGATCCTACGAGATATAGGAGATCGGTTGGCAAATTGAATTACCTCACAGTGACTAGACCTGGCATTTCTTTTCCAGTGAGTGTTGTAAGTCAGTTTATGGATTCTCCCTTTGATAGTCACTGGGATGCAGTTGTTCGCATTCTTCGGTATATAAAGTCAGCTCCAGGCAAAGGGTTACTATTCGAGGATCGAGGCCACAAGCAGATTGTTGGGTACACAGATGCTGATTGGGCAGGATCACCTTCTGATAGACGTTCTACGTCTGGATATTGTGTTCTAGTAGGAGGTAATTTGGTCTCTTGGAAGAGCAAGAAACAAAATGTAGTTGCTCGATCTAGCATCGAAGCCGAATATCGGGCCATGGCTATGGCAACGTGTGAGCTAGTTTGGGTCAAGCAGTTGCTCAAGGAGTTGAAGTTCAGAGAAATTAGCAAGATGGAACTGGTGTGTGATAATTAAGTTGCTCTTCATATTGCGTCAAATTCGGTGTTCCATGAGAGGACTAAACACATTGATATCGACTGTCACTTTGTCAGAGAAAAGATACTATCAGGAGATATTGTTACAAAGTTTGTAAAGTCGAATGATCAGCTAGCAGATATTTTCACTAAGTCTCTTACTGGTTCTCGTATTAGTTACATCTGTAACAAGCTCGGTACATATGATTTATATGCACCGGCTTGAGGAGGAGTGTTAAGTAGTTAGTCATGTATAGTGTCCCACATCGGGAAGTAGATACCTATTATTATGTAATCACTGTATATAAATAGGGTTGTACAACACTTTAATTAAGTAATAA